ATGTATTCCATTAGTCTCCAAGGACTCTGGTTCCAGATGTGCGGCACAGCAGCCATGTGAGTACTTGGGTTAACCCCTGCCTGCTGTGTCAGACACACCCACAGTAGGAGTGACATGATGACAGACACACCCACAGTGGGAGTGACCCTGTGGCAGACACACCCACAGTGGGAGTGACCCTGTGGCAGACACACCCACAGCGGGAGTGACCCTGTGGAAAAGTCTGCTCTGAATCAGCTGTTTACTGGCTTAATTAGACAAGTTTAACAGCTTCTCCCAGCTCCTTGGGTGCCAATGCTTTGAAGAGACCTGGAGAAGATGCCTCTGGGACCAGGGCTGGACAGGCTTGGCTATTGTAAACATAACGCCCAGCTGCAGCAGCCCTGCTTTAACACAAACTGTCACCATAACTGTTTAATTCCTGACGATCGTCCATTAAATAATATTCTGGAAGGCTCTTTCCTGCTGAGGTCTTAATGGAGCGCTTAATTGCACCAGCTTAATTAAAACCTTTTTCCCGTGGTTTTCGATGTCAGGAAATCTGCCACCAGGCTGTTTACATATTCCAGCAAATGGCATACTTATCTCCTAAAGGTGCTTTTACAGGTCCTTTTTAATTAACAGCTAAGACACAAGCAACAAAAGGCATCTACAACGAAATCAGCGATCACTGGTGGTCAGACAAAGCCCCTGCAGGACCTGTTGCATCACAGCTCTTCACTGACAAACAGATGCTCGGGTTGCCGTGGAGACCCCCCACATCGGTCCTCACCAAGAGCTTTTTTCTCTCTCACTTAAACGCATCTGGTAGTTCTGGTGACCAAGTTCTCTCTCCATCTCATTTCATAACTAGATTTGCATCTGTCATTCATAGCTTCAGCAATAACTCTGCCTTTATACGCATGTTCGTTCCAGGAAATAGGAAGCATTGAGTGCAACAGAGCACCGCGTTTTTACTCTGCTCAAGGATCCGACTTGGGTAACTGTTGGCATCTTGGCATCTTTCCACCATATAGCTCAGCCGGGCTGGGCCTGGTCTGTAAGGACATGGGGGGGCTCCGAAGAAAGGATAGAAAACTGCTGCTATAACTGGCACTAGTAGACCAGTAGGTGGCACTCTTCCCCCTGGACTGGTTTTTCCACACCAATGTCCCAGGGTGGTGCCTGGACACTGTGCTGTAGGAAGTGCCGTCCCTCAGATGAGATGTTAAACTGAGATCCCGACTACTTGTTCATTAAAGATCCCAGGGCACTGTTTCTCAGAGTGTTTCCGTGCACTGGCTAGGCTCTGCTCTGGGTTTGAGCAATCTGACCTCTCCAGAGACCCTCTTTAATTAAGGAGTGCAGCAGTTTCTCTTTGCTGCCCCTGCTCTGTGCCCAGTGGGGCTGGCGAATGTCCCCCCAGGTGGGGGCTGCAGTTCAAATGGGGATGAAAAGTGTGTTTCTGTATTTGGGACAAGATCATCTGAAGCTGATGGTCAGTCCAGTACACTGCAGCTTGCACTGCACAGCACAGCAGATGCTGTGTTTAATCTGGCTGCCCCACAGCACCGGGGTCCTGTGTTTGAGCCCAGCCTCAGGTGCCTGTATGTGTGGAGTTTGTATGTTCTTGCCTTATTTGCATAGGTACTCCAGCTTCCTCCCAACCCACAGAAGCATGTAGGCTAGGATTGACTAGCTACTCAAAATCATCCCCAGGAGCAAGACAGCTGCTCTCCCGACCTCAGTTCCTGACCCCGAGTGGAACAGCCTGCTAAGCAGATTGCATGCAGTTCTAACAAAGTGGCTGCTCGGTGTGGCAGTGTTTCACTGGCAGCGCTGCTCCAGAGAGACACAGGCACTTTAAAATCCCCAGAAAAAATGAAGCAGAAAATGGATTGCTGCCGCTTACGAATGGGTCTCACGAGCCGTCCTGCCTGCAGGCTGTCCTTACTCCTGCTGCTTGTTATTTCCAATTCCTCTCAGCAGATGTGAGTGGGGACGTGACTGCTGCCCGCGTGCTGAGACCGCCCAAGGGCAAAGAAGACCTGCTGGAGGATTCAGCCCTGAAGGACTTGCTTCTCCTTCGGTCGAAAGGCCTTTGCAGACAGCTGGTTAAAAATCGTGTGTGTCCAGTACCACGCGCCTCTGCTGGCTCTGCACGGCGACAGACGAGCTCTTTCCTTTACTCCCCGGGAGCCACTGGCTTTCATCGCACTCTACAAAAAAGTTCTCATTGATTTCAAATAAACCATGCAGTTCATCAGGGATCTTGGACCCATCTTCTAGAGGGAGGGCTTAGTGGATTCAAGAAAAGTCAATTAATTAGACATACACAGGATTTTTCTTAAGGGGTTTTACAGTTGAATACTCGTCCCATTACCATTTTATTTAGTGAAAGGAACACTTATCAATAGATCTCCTCAGAGCCTGGTATGCAGCTTATTAGACAGTTACACAGCTTATTAAATAATGAGACCAGCCTGGGGGCCCTGCTGTATGTGATGAAATTTCAGTAGCACCCCTTTGGCACTCATCCATCGGCTGCGTGTGTGCTCCTGCGCCGTTTATCATGATCAAGGCCCAGGAACCGATTCAGACTAATGCTTTCGACCACTAAAGGCAGACCCAGGCTCGAGCAGACATGCGAACAGAACGTCAGCCTCACCCAGGCTCTGCAATGCTCTCTGTGGATGCAATGGGTCTGGGACTTTTAGCCATTTGATCACGCATGCAAGATTCAGGCATGGACCCTGACTGGCCCTGTGCTCAGACTGATCATTCCACAGCGAACCCAATGCATTGTGTTCAGAATTCAGCAGCCAGAATCCTGACCAGATCGCGAGCAAGCCTGAAGTTTTTGCACTGGCTTCCTTTTAGGATTTGACTCGACTTCAAAATTCTCCATCTCACCTATAAGGCTGTACGTGGTTTGGAACCTCAGTACTTGTCTGAGTTACTATCGTCCTACTCCCCGCCACACAGATATCTCCCAGATATCTGCCAAGCTTATTCATATTCCATGGGTGACACAGCCTTCTCTTCCTACATCCCATCTAAAGGAAGGCTCTGGCTCTGGGAATCTATCCCCAAGGATATCACAGAGTCACCTACCCTGAGTTCATTTAAATCTAGACTCAAAACCTCTCTCTTCTGAAGGGCTTTTATTTCATTAGTGTCTGTCTTCAGCTGCACCCGTTGTGTTTCTCATATGCTTATTCTTAATTAGTAATTTGCTATTCTTATAAGTGTTTTTTATGCCTACTGTAAAGTGCTTTGAGATGCTACTTTTAAAAATATTATTATAATTAGGTCACAGGCACTCCTCCAAGCCCTCTGTCTGTTTCACAATAAAGGTTAACGAGCACAGAGTCGTTAACGTTTTCAGCTGCAGAGCAAACATCACTGGCTCTCCAAATCAGATTTGATTTGGGGGCTAGCAGGTGACAGCATCCTGGCCACTGTTCTCAGTCTGGAACACAGATGAAGCGCTGTGGGGGTGCAGGTGGTGTTTCCAGGCAGGAAAAATGAATGCAAAACCTAATTACAATTATGGCAGGAACCCCAAGCAAGCTCTTCTGGATCGGATACAGCACAGCGATGAGCCCTGATCTGCTGGGCAGCGGGGCTGCGGGTGCAGGGGAGCCCCCATGGGTGTGAACGGATCTGTGATCCTTCTGGAGTAAAGGCACAATATAAATGCAAGGGATGATGATGGTGAAAATTTCTCAGCACGATTTATATGAGACGTTCCACTGTGCCTCACTGAAGTCCACAGTTCTCCACATCCGCCACAATGCGATCTCCGTTCTTCCCCTGTTTCCCATCCCTGTGTGTTTGCTCGTTAGGGGATCCCCTAACCTTAAATTGTGTTTCTCATAAAGGCCGGCACGTGGCTCTGCGGTTGTCGTGGAAACGCAAGGCTTAGTCAATAAAGAACAGAATGTAATTAATATTCCCAAGGACCCTGCAGAGATGAGAGAGCTCTGAGCCACTCTTAATGAATATATGCATATTTCTTTTTCTTTCTATAGCTACAGTATACAGACCGGACTGGGTCTGGTCAGTACTGGGATGGAAGACTGCTAGGGAAAACCAGGTTTTGGAGCTGCGTTTATAACAACAGCCAAGTTCAATCAGACTCAGCTGTCAGTAATGAGCTATCATGCCGCATGCCATATGCCATTTCCTCACCTAAAAAGTTATGAAAACTGTTCATAATCCCCTTCTCTCTGTCTGAATCCCTCCTGCGCCGCATCTCCAGCGCTGCAGCTGCAGGGACAACGAGGGGCGCAGATAAGAATCATTCAGGTGTGCTTGACTGTACTCTGTGTGTGCCTCCACATCACATTATTAAGGATTTTGATCGTTGAAGAATGCTATTATGACTGTATAAGGTAGTGTTAAATACGGGTTGCTCTTTGGCTCATTCTCGCATTATAATTCATCCCTGCATACAGAAAAGGACGATTTCTCCAGGCTGAGTTTTTCATCAGTTACTTATGAGCATTGACAGAACGCACAGTAGGTAAGAGGTTGTCCCTTTAAAGAAGGCGGTGCTGGTAAATAACCCCGCCAATCACATTGCACGTTACGCGAGTCCGTCAAATGATTGGCATGCACTGCGGACCAATCGGCGCTATCTCTACCGGAAGCGTTGTGAAGTGAAGGTTGATGCAAACATGGGGGTAAAGTTAGAGATCTTCCGGGTAATAATGCATTTATTTTAAATACACTGGCTTTGTCTCAGACGTAGAGA